CATTTATAAAGACTCTACAAATCACAATGAATTAATAAAATATTTATCCTAAATATAAATATTAATTAATACCTGAAAGTTAAAAGTAGTTTTTTTATACAAAAAAATAGTGTATATATATATACATAACTTTTTTTTATAAATTTTCATGTAATTTTTAATAAATTTTTTTAATTTTTAATTAGTTTTTTAAAATATTGATTAACAAAATATTATTTTAAATAAATTATAGGTCATAACTGTTGTTCATTTGGAGATTATTAAATCCACTTGTCCCTTTTCATTAATCTCATGCCTCATTTTTATAACTTCTTAACACGATGATCTAGAAAGAATTAAAACCAATTACTGCTATAGAGTGATATTTAATTTAAAGAAATAAATTTAAATTTAAATTTTATTATAATTATAGAAAATATTAAATTTACATAATAATTAAAATTATAATAATTTAATTAAAATTGTTGAAACTATAAAAGCATAATTAAAAATTTAATAAAATTATAAAGCATACATATTAATTTACTTTTAAATTATAATTCATCGATAAGTATTTAACAATAATCATGTATTGGGTGATTTGTCAATAACTATTAATTATTTTCTTTTGGTTATTACTAAATATACAGATAACAAGTGATATAGTTTAGCCAATGTTAACGAACACATGTATTTACTGATATTTATTACAGGTGAATTTAGATATGTAATTTAATTAAATGCTTATTTAATAAATTTTATCATAAGTTTAAGTATGACATTTATTAAAACTAATTAAACATAGTTTACATACTGAAATTTTTATTAAAAAAAAGTTAAAAGCAGCTTATGACAGTTATAATTCATAAGCTAATTTTGTAAGTTATCTATAATTTTTTTTAAAACAAGTTCTTGTTTTTTTAGTATTTATCTATGTCTTTATATAATATGATATAAAATTAATATGAATCATCACTAAAATTTGTATCTTTGTCTTTTTATATTTTTAAATTTCAATTTTAATAATCTTAATTTATAATAAAAAATTTGAATGATATAATAGTCTTAATTATACATATTGTTTGTATCATTCAAATTATATAATTAAACTTTCATATTATATAAATAAATAACGGAATAAATCAATAAATTACTCAAATAAAAAATAGATAAATATAAAAAATAATAATATGGATAAGTTTAATAGGATGAGAGAAAGAGGTAAGAAATATGGTGACATCAAAATGATATTAAAGAATTACAAACTTTTCTTCTCAAGTTGCTTTAAAGTAATATTTTTTGTTTGTTTTGCAAAGTATTAAATTATTCAGTTATAGTCCTAAAAAATATGTTAAGTTTGAGAAGAAAAATAATTTATACATGTAACAATAGTTGAGTGATTTTGAGAGGTTGTAATAACAACCAATGGTAGTAAAAATAATAAAGATAATAACAATAATAAATAATAATGATAATGCTAATAATAATTGTGATAGCAAAAATAATGAATAATTATTATATGAATTTGAGTATTTATTTATTTATTTTAATGTATTAAATTTGAATTTTTATTTCTTTTAAATTTAGAAGAATTTGATTTAAGTATTTTATTTAGCTTAAAAATTGAGATGAATGTTTATTTTCATTCTTTTTTGTTAAAGTTTTTTATTTTCAAGAGTGTGATGAAAGTGGAAGGCAATGGAGAAAATGATTTTGATCATTTTTTACTCAAGCGAAAATCTTTTCCTTGAGTGAGAATGTGTGTATCAGACATAAGTTTTTATTTCATTTTCACTTAAACGAATAGTCATTGCTCGAGCGAGAATGTCTTTTTAACTTGAGTAGAGTTTTTAACTTAAATAAGAATTCATTTATTTCACTTTTAAATAAAGAGAATCAAAAGGAAGAGGGATCGAAGAGTAAGAAAAAAGAGTAACGAATAGAGAACTAAGGCAAGGAGCATTGGACATCAATCCAGCTTATCTCTTTTTTCTCTTTTTTATATTATAGTGTTACTATAGGTAGTTAAAATCCTTCTGAAATTTGATATAATCTTCTACTTTAAAATATTTTGATAATTTATATATAATTATCCTTTTTTTATAAATGTTGGCGGTTTCATTTTATTCTTAATGTTTGATTCTATTCTACATAATAATATTTTAATTTAGAATTTAAAGTTTAGCTAGAAAACGAACTTAAAACTGGATTGAATAAAACTCACTCAATGTGTTGTGATGTTAGGAATAAATTTTAATATATTTGATTGCTTCTTAACTTTTGATTTTAATACTGAAGGATTCATGAATAATTAAGAAATTATTATTTATTGAATACTTTTAGAAACTTTATATGTGAGGAATCAATATAAGAGAATATTATAAGAGTTAATCTACGTTTATAGATTTGTGTAAATATTTATTCATCAAAACATGGAAGAGAAAAAAATGATAAAATATAATCCTAACTCAAACCATAATTTTTTCGTACCTTGATTTACTTTGCTTCTTAAATAATTGAATTTCTTACCTATAAACAAATTGTATAATTATTAATAATTTTTTTATTAAAAAATTTTAATTAGAATAATAAAAATTAAAAGTATATCTATCAATTCCTATAAATACGACAACATTCACTTCTATACTAAACGAAAATTTGGTACGTTTGCCAAAATCTTAACAAATATATGTGCACAAAGTTTTATCACCTTTTTTCATTTTTAAAATTAAATATCAATTTTAACTATCATTTTGTTTAATTTTCATACTTTTCTTTCTTTTTAATTATAATATATTATTCAATTATTATACATAATCAAATATTTATTTATGATATACTAAATTTTTTACTATGATATAATTTTTTATTAAATTAATAATAATTTATATATATATATATATTAATTCATTATAATTATTATATTATAGAATATAAAAAATTATAATTTATATTTCTATAAAAAATTCTACAACCAAATAATAATTATTTTACTATTAACTGTTAATTTAAGATATTTTAAAAAAAATTAATTATTTGTTATAATAATTTATCATTAACTATAATAAATAAAATTAATTTATCATTATCGTGCATACATGTAATTAAATCTAGTTTTATAATAATATTATACTTTATTTGTTTATAAATAATTAAAAATTACTTAATAGACATGAAAACGATTATTAATAATATTTTAAAATATAAATATAAAAGTAAGTAGTAAAATGAATAGATCTTATCCATCCAGGTTACTATACGTGCATGAGGATTCCATCGCTAACATAAATTTAAAACTGAATGCTAACTTCTTCTTTTTTTTTCCTTCAAATTAATTTTTTTTTTAAATTTTCTTATAATCAAATGGTTTTCTTTTTATCCTGATGAAAATAATACGAAAGGAAATAATTGAAAGTCGCAACAGTTAGGTTTGTTTATTTCTGTTTTAATTTTTAAAAATTACATTAAAAAATTTAAAAATAAAAATAAAATTTACATTAATAAACAAATTTTAATTTTTTAATTTTAAAAAAATATTTTTAAAAATAAATAATAAATAATATTTTCTTTAGATATGCGCACACGCACGCACACCATTTTAATTAATAATTTTAAAAAATGTAATTATAATATTTAAAATAATATAAATATATTTTACTAAATAAATTATTTGAACTCTGCTCATAATATTATAACGTATAACAAAAGAACAAATGTTTAAAATTCAAAAGATAATATAATAAAAATTTAAAAAAACTCTCATTTTAAAATAAAAGTTCCAAAATATATTTTACAAAATAATTTGAAATCTAATAATGATATTTCATGTAACCCATTTTAAGCAAAAGAAATATTATTTTTTAAAAAATCTTGGCTAATGCAATGAACATAAGACAAGTGTTTTAGAATATTCAACATGAGGTAAGCGAATTATGGATTCAACAATGGGGAGCAACTCTATTTTGAGAAATAGCAAAAGCAGAATCTTCTCTTTCTTTGTTGGAGACTAAAATGAAGTAATTGACTGAATAGGACATAATTATTGATTCAAGACTAAGAATATTCCAATTGATACACAATGATTCCATGCACATAATAATTATTTATCCAAAAATATTAATTGCTAAATTCCTTAAGGGTGCACTACCACCAACAACTCAACTTGGTCGTTAGCGTTTCCAACTTTAGTTCCATTCAAGAATTTTAAGACAAGAACTGCCTGAATCTCTAATATGTTTATATATAGTTTAAGCCATCATAGATAGAAAACATATCGGTTACACTTTATCTTTCTCCAGCTAGAACTCCAAGTATCCAATTTTCCGAACACAGTTATCAAGAGGGTCAGTTTCTTTCACAATTCATGCTTCGATTTTTGTTCATAATTCAACATTTTCATGATCCCATAACCTTCTTGATTCTTCTTGATTCTTCTTCTTCTTTGGTTTTTTTGGAGTTTGACTTGCTTTGATTAAAATGCTCTTTCTTTGATGGGATTTATGGCCTATGGGAGACAATGTGGGTTTCAAGTGTTCTTTCTTTTTTATTTTGATAGTTGGTTTGTTTTTCCCATTTTCTTGGGTTCTTTTGCATGCTTTGATTCTGAGATAATGGATATGAAGTTATAAATTTGGCTTGTGATGGGATCCTTGTTCTTATAAGCTTTAAAGATTCTTGGTAATCTGATTTATCTGTTAATTACTCAATAGGTTTGTTATTTGCCCTCTAATTTGTTTTGAAAAGTCAAAATCTGAGAGAGTCTTCGTCAATAATTACATAAATTGTGTCTTCTTGTGTCTGTTCTTAATGATCAAGTACTGTTTCTGGCATGCAGTGTTGGATTATTGGTTGTGTCTACAAACATTATTTTTAATTTTCTCATCCTCTTTCTTTTCATCTTTTAACCATGTATTGTTGTACTGTTGTTTTGTTTTTATCATCATTATACATTGTGGCATTTCAATTTTGTTTGAATTGCAAGGTTAAGATGGTTTTGCTGCCTTGCCTGCAGTTCCTTATAAATGGGTTGTTTCAATTCTAAGGAAAGAAGGCGACGGAATCCTACTCAGCAGACTATAATAAATCTTGCTTTACAGACAGCTTGTAAGTTGATTAATTTTTCCAACAAAATGATGCAATGCAAAACTATAATTCTTGTACAATTATATAGTTTCTTGTGATCGCGACTGTTTTGTTGAATTTTAACTGTACACGCTTCTGACCAATTGCTTATTGTCAAAATCCATTTGGTCTTGCACTCTTGCTGGATGAATCTAACAAGTATAATAATGAAGAAACAAAGTTATAGTATTCTGCCTGTAAGGGATTGGAATTGTTTATGGAATGTTTCCTCTGTGGCTGTGAGGTTTTTGAGAAGGGAAGATTGCAAATTTGCAACAAAGAAAACAAGGTTCACTTTGTTCGGTTTATTGTTAAAAGTGTGGATCTTTAAAAACCATCATTTTCCATGGTCCTACCCATTTTTATTCTGTCTTAATGTGGGCTACATGAAGGGATATAATTCAGTCCATGCTTTGTCAATATTGCTATATCTGTGAGTATATAAATGTAATTGTCAACTCTGCATTTTGTGAAGTAAAGCAAACCAAAGAAAATGTCTTTAGTTTCTTTCTACTTGCAAAGCTTAAGAGATTAAAGAACAACCTCACATCCTTTCTCTTAAATTAAATTCTGAAGTCTTCCACTAATTTCTCCTGTCACTACCTTAAGCGGAAAAAAGACCTCTTTTTCTTCCATTTTCTACAAAACTTTTCTCCTCTTCAAAACAAACAAATTTAGACCTATGCATTCAGCCAGCTCTGTTAATTTAAGAAACAAAATTGAGACTTGTAGGTTAATATGTGTCATTAGCTCAATTGAAATGGATGTGATGATTGTGTTTGAGTAGTTACTAGTCAATTATTTAGATTTTAGAAGAATGTTTCCGTATAGTGATGCATTTCTTATGGAATTTCTCGATGTTGATTTCTCAAGAACTTAGGTTAATTTTGTAGTTTAAACTTCTGTATCAATTTTTGGTTTCCCATTTCTCAGTCAATGTCAGTGAGGTTGAAGCACTGTTTGAGCTTTTTAGGAGCATCAGCAGTTCTATTCTTGATGATGGACTAATAACCAAGGTACTGCATACTACATCGAAAATGCCTATTTTATATTTAGCAGCAGTTGAGCTATATGATGATTGCTAACATTTATTGTTTATATCTTCACTTATTCTGTGTGCGGAATAGTTATATACTGACAGCTATCTTGCATTGGGTACGTTGTCATGAGAAATTAGGTCATATATTTGTATTCTTAATTTTATTAAGAATTTAGTCCATAACTTGGTTTGCAGTCATTATCTGGAATTTTTTAATTAATCAATATGTGCAATATGAAGATAATCAGTTGTTATTTTTCTCAATGATGTTTCCAGACATGAATGATCTACAATATAATATCTCTTTTCTTTAAGTTTTTCTTTCCTCTATTTGATTTTAGTTTTTTTTGGTTTGTTATGAGACTTTTTCGTGTATTATCATCTTAATCCAACTTGTTCTATATATCGAATTCCAAGTTCATATTATGGTTATGGTTGTTCTTTATTGACAGGATGAATTTCAATTGGCAATCTTCAGAAGCAGTACAAGGGAAAATATCTTTGCTAATCGGGTACTGTACATCATACTTCTGTTTTCTTGTTAATTGTTTATGTTTCTTGCAAGCATTTGTTAACGACACTAAAGCCTGGCCCAAATGTACTCTTTAGATCAACAATCTGTAATGCAATTAGGTCATTAAAGAAATTTGATGTTTCACCGTGTTCTGGAAGAACTAAATTCGTTAATCCTTTCAGCATAAGGTTAACATATGTATAATGAACCATTTACTTGGCTCCAGTTTTTGTCAAATTTATAGATGTTCGATTAGCTTTGCAATTTTGTTTTAAGTATCTTCAATGACATTTTATGCCATTCATGTGGCATCTCTAGGAAGTAAATTTTTCAATTTTCTGGATATCCATTGATGTGGCATTATAAATTTTCTATATGCAGATATTTGACCTATTTGATCTCAAGCGGAACGGAAATATTGACTTTGATGACTTTGTTAGATCTCTCAATGTTTTCCACCCAAATACACCATTCGAACTCAAGATAACTTGTAAGTTAAAAGTCAAATCCTCAACTTGTGGGCTATCCTAAATTCCATACTGTGATATAGCTGTACTGATACATCAGGTTTTGGATTTTCTTGCAGGGTCGTTTAGGCTCTATGATTTGCACAATACTGGTTTTATAGAGCGACAAGAAGTAAGATGATGATTATTTATTCATACACCATACAAATAAAGTGCTCATTGCCACAAATAAAGTGATAGATTTTTTGTTCACAAATATGATTATTTTCATTCTGTGCACTCCTATCCTATTAATTTGAGTAGACTTCATTTTTCTTTTGGGTGATTTCTGATAGGTTAGACAAATGTTAGTTGCACTTCTTGCTGAGTCTGACATGACGTTAGCAGAGGAGGTGATAGAAACAATTATGGACCAGGTGATTTCTCACAACTTAAATAATGTATATGAAAATTCGTCTGTTTTATAAATTTAGTTTACTGATGCTATGTTGTATTCTATCTTATTTTTTGTATCAATTCTCACAATTTAAGTATAAGCTTGACATTGTACTTTTGTGGCCAGACATTCTTGGAAGCTGATAAAAACCGAGATGGGAGAATAGACTTCGAAGAGTGGCGAAATTTTGTTACTGATAATCCGTCACTATTAAAAGTCATGACCCTACCTTATCTGAGGTATGTCTAGAATTATTTTTATAGTAAATATGAATCTACTTTCATCCATATTTTGATATTTTAATTATATATTAACTTGTTATTCTTGAAAATGCAGGGAATTAACCACTTCTTTCCCAAGTTTTGTTGTTAACTCTAAGGTGGATAACGTTGCTGAGTTGTAAAGTGCAAAGCTTTAGGTATTGGTGAGAAAATTGGATGTGTTAAAACAGAGAGGAAAATAGGTGCGATGCCTTGGTTAGCGTTGAAGTAAATAGGAACTAATTGTAAATCATAGCATTCAAATTTTCTACTCACATTCACCTTTTATTTTTCCAAGGGAAATGATATAATTTTCGTTTGAACAGAGAGAGAAAGAAATATGTGCAATGTCTGATTAGTTTGCCTTAGTAACTGTAAATCACATTGGAATTGACATTTTCTACTCGTGTTTCAAGATATTAAAGAGATTGCAAAATGGCCAAAAAATAATTGCATATTGTGATGGTAAAAATCTAAAAAAAAAAAAGGCAAATAAATAAATAGGAACACTTCCTGAAGATGAAATCAAAACAACTTATCTTTTGATTATAGAAAATAAAGGGAACGCTTTCTCGAGACCTTGTTGATCTTAGGTAACATTTTATTAGTTTTAGTTTTCAAAAACTTGATTGATTAGAATTTAGGAATATTTGAAAGAACATGTACAAGCTTATTTTGACTTATCAAAATTGTTTAACAATCGTATAAGCTAATCAGTTTTAATAAATTTTGTTAATTTTATGATTAATTTCTTATATAATATTTTCAAAATACATAAAAGAAGCCACTGTTAAAAAATTCATCTTCTTAGTTCACGATTTGGAAATATGTTGAAAATTTGATAAATATATAAAGATGAAAGATCGCGGCGCTGTACTTTAAAGCGTAAAATTATGTCTATAAATCTATAAATTAGATAATTTATTATACATATTAATGTATTCAATTAAAATTTCAATCAATATCTGTAATTTTTTACTCCCCCAAAAGTTAAATAATAAAATATATATTTTTTGTTAAAAAAAATTTAGTACCTTTAATATAGTAATAATATTTATTATTAATTTTAATTCTTTAAATTTATTATTTTAGAGGTCTAAAACAAGAGTTTTCTCCTTCCATATTTTCATCTTTTCAATTTTTTTTTCTCACATTCTTCTTCCATTCTCATCTTACCCTTCCTTTTCCCTTCATCTCCATTTGGGATATTAAGGACTTATATTTTTATTTTTGATCTTTCATTAAATATAAATTATTTTTAAGATTTTAATTTTTATTTTAAATTTTCATATATGACTAGTGACTGGGAATGGCAAAGTGTAAAACCAGCAACTTAAGCTTACGAGAAATCCTACGTTAGGGCTTGCGCTTTTTATTTAGTTGCCATCAGAATATCCCATATCTTCCGTTGTTTTGCTTCTGCAACTCCCAAAATCGAAAATTGATCGAATTTGTTTGACTATACGTTCGAGTATAGGCATGTTGACATGGTGCTTCATTTTACCAAGTACATTCTATTTCACAACCACTTTTTCAGAAAGGTTTCTCCTTTGCATGAAGTTTTTAGAGGCTATGTCTGCTATGAGCAGTTGTTCAATCCGTTTCTGCAAAAGTTTTCCACTTCTGGTCACTGTGAAAGATTATCATGGGAACGTTCCACCCAAGAAATTCTATTGAGGAAGCTTCAATTTGCTTTGAGGAATCATCAAGTGCATGAAGCATTGGAATCATTTAAGGATTTTAGAAGGCTTTATGGTTACCCTGAGGTTCACCTGGTGAACCAGCTCATTGTTCAGTTGTCCTATTCTTCCAATCATGTTTTGATGCGAAAAGCTTGTGATTTGGTGTTGCAGATTGTTCAGGAGAAATCAGGTTTACTTCATGCTGATACCTTAACCATACTTGGACTATCTCTAGCTAGGTTGCAAATGGTATACCCTACTTCTGTGATACTTAGATTGATGCTGGACAAAGGGTGTGTGCCCCCTATGCATCTATTGTCCCTGGTTGTTTTTCATATTGTGAAGACAGAAATTGGAGCTCATCTTGCATCTAATTATCTGTTTCAAGTTTGTGATTTTTATAATTGTTTGAATGATAAAAAGGGTCAACAAGCAGTCATGGTCAGGTCGGATACCTTGATCTTTAACCTTGTTCTTGATGCTTGTGTGCGGTTTAAATTGTCTTTGAAAGGCCTTTGCCTAATTGAATTAATGTCGCTGACAGGGACCATGGCTGATGCACACTCAATTGTCCTAATTTCACGGATTCTAGAGATGAATGGTTTGAGAGATGAAATTATGGAATTGAAAGATCATATTGACGGAGTTTCAGCTGCTTATGTTCGTCACTACTGCCAGTTCTATGATAGTTTGTTGAGCTTGCACTTCAAAGTTAATGACATTGATGCTGCTGCTAAGCTTGTTGTGGATATGACTAGCTCACATAATTGTCATGTTGATAAAGAATATAGGAAACACTTGCCAAAGCCTTGCTTTATTGCCATTGGATCTCCTAATTTTAGGGCTGCTTTAAAGATACATATTGAGCCTGAGCTACTGCATAAGGATTCGGTCCTTAAAGTGGAAAGCAGACAAGATCTTATTTTTTATAAGGGTGGGAAACTAGTTCTTAGTAACAGAGCTCTGGCTAAGTTCATCTATGGTTACAAGAAAGATGGAAGGATTAGTGAACTTTCAAAACTTTTAATTAGTATTCAAGAGGAACTATATTCAGTGGCAGGTTCAAGTTTGTGCTCTGCGGTGATTGGTGCTTGTATTCATTTAGGATGGCTTGAGTGTGCTCATGACATTTTGGATGATGTAGAGGCTACTGGGTCTCCAACTGGCTGGGATACATACATGTTACTCTTGTCAGCATATCAGAAGGGGGGAAAGCAAAGAGAAGCAAAAGCACTGCTGAAACAAGTGAAAAAGATTGGTTTGGACAGAGAATTATCAGATGATGCTATTGACAAACACAACCTCTGTAAAGAAACATCAAATTCACTTGTTAAATCAGATTTGGCTATCACCTTGGCTCAAATCTTTAAAGATGAAGAGCAGACAGTTTTTCCTTTGGTGTATAACTTCAATTCTTCCATTTTCTTTTTTTGCAAGGCTAGAATGATAGAGGATGCACTAAAGGCATATAGAAGAATGGTTGACAAGAAAATTCAACCTACGAAACAAACTTTTGCCTTTTTGCTATGTGGATATTCTTCTCTTGGTATGTATCGCGAGATCACAATCTTGTGGGGTGACATTAAGAGATCCATTAAGAGTGGCAATTTAGTGGGAAATGCAGATCTATATGAGTTACTGCTGCTAAATTTTCTTCGAGGCGGTTACTTTGAGAGAGTGATGGAGATCATTGGCTATATGAGAGACCATAACATGTATACTGACAAGTGGATGTACAAAAGTGAGTTCCTTAGACATCATAAGAATCTTTATAGGACTTTAAAAGCATCAAATACAATAACAGAAACACAAAGGAAACGGCTGGAGCATGTTCAGGAATTTAGGAAATTGGTGGGTATTGATTAAAGGTCTCTGGGAAATATATTCATGCGCTGTTGTACCTCCACGTTTTCCAGCAATGTTATGTCTACTTAAGCTTATTTGAAGTTAATTCAATTTTGGTTGCGGCTCAAATTTATCGATGCTGGAATTAAGGGGAAAATTTGGTTTCAGTAATGACAAATCCTACCATGATCTTAAGGATAAATTTTCTCATATTGATGGTGTAACTCCTAATTTGAAGTGGATATATTGTTTGATTTATCATCACACGACTATATGTTCTGCCAAGTGGTGGATACTACTCATTGATGATGTGCTGCTTTAAGTGGAATGATGACATGCTGGTGCTACTTGTTTTAGAAGTTGCGGATAGAAACAATTGTACTTATTTGCTTGGTTGTTGGAGGATATTTGACAAAAGGGCTTTTTCCCTTCACTTGTTTATGGCTGATGATGCTTGAACAGCTACTAACGTTATACCATTTTTTAATTGACTGGAAGTTGAAAGGATATATAGCTATCCCCATTAAACCATTATTATATGCAACTGATTATACAACTAATCATATGGTGTGCAAGGGGAGGAATCATATATATATATTGATTTTGCTGTTGTATTGTTCCTTTACTAGCTCAGAATACTTTTTATTTAACTGAATTGTCAAGGTGCGTGGTGACTAATCTTTGTTTTGGTTTGCATTACAATTATAGTAAACTTTCCTCTCCTTCAGGCTATTGCAATACAGAAAGATGTAACATATGCTAATTTCCTTCTCAGATGCCAACGAGTTTTGTGTTTCTAAATGCAAGCAATCTTCACTCAGCTAATTTAAATATCATTACTGCCTTTAGAGTATAAAAAGAAATCAAGAAATCTGATTTAACACTTTTTCCCCAATTAATAACAAAATTTGTTGGCAGAGGGAGGAATTTGCTTGGCATTTGCTAATGGATTATTATGCTCTCTCTCACACACATGCATACATATTAATTTAAATTACATCCGCTTAACTTTTGATTTGGTTATTTTTTTCATAAATTCAACAATTGGATTAAAAATTTCTATTATATAGATCACATTTATAAAATTTGAGATTAATTAAAAAAGTTTGATATTTCATTTGTCAAAATTAATCTAATATACTTTTGGAGATATGTATAACTGTCCTTTTGTTATATCAAATTTGACATAAATAATTAATATATTTTGTATAAAATTATTGATAATGTAATATTTAATGAAATTTAAACTGGTATAGTTTAATCTCTCCTCTACATAAATATCAAACCACTTTTTTAAAATTTAATAGGATTAAATATTGAATTATTTTTACCTACATTTTAGGGGTACCATACTTACATTTAAAAGAAATTAAAGCACATGCTACATACTGAACAGACACCAAAATGGGCCGAAAAGAGGTGGGCCCGGTTATGATCCAACAGAAAACGGGCCTGTATAAAAGATTTTGTTTCAGTTGCAGTTTAGTTCCGAATGTGAGAGAGAGAGAGAGAGAGAGAGTGATGAGGACGACGCTGAGTGAGGAAGCGAAGGAGAGAATATCAGAGAGGTTGTCATGTTTGGAGAACCTTTACTTTCCGCGAGCCCTCGAATCCACTTCAACACTTCCTTCTCAACGCAAGGCCATCTTCCATGACCTTCTCTCCAGAGACGTTGCCCTCTTCTTAGGTTTGTGACTTACCTCCCACTTCCTTTTTTTATTTTATTTTAATTTATTCATATATCTATGCTCCAAGTGCTAGTTAATGGTTTTCGAATTTTCTATGTTGCAAGCAAACCTTAAAGCTTAACCTAAGAACGATAGATAGATAGATAGGATTTGGTTCTGAGTTTGACTGCTTAGCTTTCGCAAAAGATGATTACAAGTCGTATAAGCTCAACATGAAACGTAGAATTCCTCACGTAGCTGTTTTGTATTTGGCTTAGAAATTAATCAATTGATTAATTAATCACAGACAATTAAACATCTTCTGCTAGCTATCAATGGAGCGAGGCCAATATTTTTTCTACATATCACGCATAGTGCAAGTGTAACAGCTCCCATGAAGAGTCACTGCGGACATTCTCTAGTCTTATGTTTCGATGCTACATTTTGTAGGGAAAGTTCAACTTTTTACCTTAGCTAAGTTCTTTCCTTACTAGAGATTTAAAAAAAAAAAAAAACCGGAGGTTTTATTTAATGAGATCACTATTCATTTTTGTAAAACATTTTATATTTTTCTCAATTTGTAAGTGTAAAAATAGCCTTCCAACCACTGCATTCAAACAAACCTAAGAATGTTTGGATGCAGAGATGCTGGAAGGAAAGGAAATAAAGGGTAAAGATTCCATTTTTGAATTAAGAGAGTTCTGTATTGTATAAAAAACTGAATAAGAGATCACTGGAAATTTTCATGATAATCTATCACTTTATTTTTTTTATTTTAAGAATAATCAAATTGGAAAATATTTACTTGAACCGAAACATTTAGGAGCTCTATGTTTTAGAAAATGTTTTCTGTTTTGATTTTTAATAATAAAATTATCACACTGTTTTTATTTTGTTGCTTGTTTTCAAAAATTTGTACAGAAAACAGTGAAAGTAACTTTTTTTCTATTTTTATTGTTTCCGGTACAAATTTTGAAAACAAAAAGCGGAATGAAAATGAAGTGACAATTTTGTAAATAAAAGTGAAAACAAGAAACGAAAATAGAAAATAGTATCTAAACCAAGCAGCCCCGTCGTCCCAAATGTTGTCTGGATGATTGCTGCCTATTCGTACATACTAACTCATATTTAGGTGCATAGCGACAACAAATGGATCATGCTTGTTGATAACCTAGAATATATTATATAAGCAGCCTAGTTTTCACAAACAAGCTCTCATATAATTATTGTTGAATTGAAATCAGGATAGAACTTTAACATGTCTATTTTTATGTTTATTTATGTAGAACGATATGGGTCCCAACTTACATCCAATGAGCTGAGTGAATTTGATTCAATGAAAGATGATTATGAGATTAATTGGCACATAAAGCGACTGCGGAGTATAATGAGTCCAACATCAGAGGAGTTGAGGATGAGGTCTGTGACAGTGAAGAACAGGAGGCGTGCCTACTTGGACAAATTGATGTGCGGTGGGTACTACTTCTCTGAAGATGCAATGAGGGAAAGAGAACCATATCTGCATCATGAATATGTGGGCAAGTTTCAGGATCAGAGTGGCAGAGGCATGGCAAGGCCTGGAGAACGCTGGTCAGAGACACTGATGAGGAGGTGTGAGGAAGCAGCGCTGGTTGCAAAGATTAGAGGGGAGCAGCAGAGGATGGGTGTTGCTGAAAGGGACTGGATTGGTAATGAAAGATTTCAAGAAGAACAACAGGAGGAGGAGGAGGAGGAGGAGGAGGAGGAGGAGGAGGAGGAGGAAGAGGAGGAAGAAGACGAAGATCAAGAGGAGGAACTGGATGATGAGAGGAGAAGAGGTAGTAGCAATTCACAGCCTGTAGAGGTACTGCACTTTAAAGTTTGAACTATCAATCAATTTATTTTACAAAATTTTATTTTTCCTTCAAGTTTATTTTCTATCTTTCGTTTTAACTAGCTTATAAAGAATAAGACAGAAAAATTGCAAATGGGAAGAAGGATAAGGAATTCTCCTGAGAAAAATAAAAGAACAAAACAAAAAGCAACCAAGAGAAGAAAAGAATGAAGCTGCTCAATTCCTCAAGATATTTGTTACTGAAATCCCGTTAGAAAGGCCTCCTGCTTTATCCCAACTAGACACCAAATGCTCTCAATCCCAAATGAAGCTGTACTTGGGGGTGTGTCTGTGATATCATTTTTTTAAACTCGTTCAATTGGTTTAATATAATTTAAGTTGGTTTTCATCTGTGTTATGCAGATAACTTAGATTCAACAGATGATAATTCACTTATCTATTATGTTGGAACCGATTACATAAAAGTGTTCTTCTTTTGTGGAGGTGGGGAGGGGATGGAGGAGTGGATAAATAATAGATAAGTGAATTATCATCTGTTGAATCTAAGTTATCTGCATAACACAGATGAATAAAAGTGTTCTTCTTTTGTGGAGGTGGGGAGGGGATGGAGGAGTGGATAAATAATCTGACTCATCTGCAGTCCCGAGTCCTTACATCAAATCTGTTTATAATTTCAGCTAAATATTATCTCATTTGGAATCCACTTCATGAAGCTGCTTCTACATTTACCCGTTTAATTGTGTATTATACTGTTGTAGCTTACATGGACTGATCTTATATGTACTAATTCCTTCTGTACTTATTACTATCACAGTCACTGTGGCTTGTGTTCCCAATAATTATGGTTTTCCACCAATTAACCCTTTTTTGTCTTCAAAGCCTAGTTAAGTAATATGATTTTTCATTATTATTGTTTTTTTTATTATTATTAAATTCCACAATTTTACTTCAATTGTCTGTTTTAAACAGTTTGACTTTTAATGAAACTATATATATTGATTTTCCATCCACTTCTCCTCGACTTTTGGGACTTGGGGAGTTCTTATTGCTATAATGGTTTCTGTATATTTTGTGGACTTCAATAATTATTTTCTTCTTTGCTACTGGCAGATACACACGAATCAGGCTGATATAATTGATAATGCCCTATCCGATCCAGCCAGAGTGAATGAGGAATCAACTTTATCTGCAGAAGAGCTGGAGGACCGGATGAATCAATTCACCTATGTTATGCAGCAGAAATTTCTGTTAGGGGAAGATCACGAACATTTAGATTACGCCAAAATAGATAATGACGAGACCCTTGACGATCATTGGCAGAGAGAGGCCAATATTGATGCAGAGGAGAGATATTTTGCTGATGACTAAACTACAGCATCATACTGGGTAATAGGGAATCAGGTGTGCCTTTACCCTTCTTGAAATCTACAGTGTACTTAAAATAACTGAACAAGTTTATATTCTAAATATAAGGGTTTTTATAAAAAATTTTGTGCAATATGATTGCGATAAATAGCTTGGCATGGATCGCATCTTGTATTCCCCCTAATTACTTACAAGCATCCAATTGTAGCATAACTCTCACCTACTACTATATTAGACTCTGAATCCGTATTTGGATCAATAGTTTAATTAAGTATTTGTATTAAATGAGAATATATTTATACCTTTAATTATAAAATTTCTTGAAATAAATTTGAATGAACTTATAAGTTCAAATAAACTCATCTAAATGCAGCTTGATTCCATCACACGTAAGATTCTATTCTTTTAATAGCTTACGATTTAGAATTGTGATAATAGCTATGTATGTGGCCACTAGGCGGTTACTGCAGAGTTAGACAATGGATGGAAGTAAAGATCCGTTGCAAAAGAAAAATGAGTTGAGCGTTATATATATATCAATTGACACCGATTCCCATCATTCATTAACAAGTTTATTTGTAAGTAACAAGTTTTACTTACAGATTCTAATCATCCACTTTTCAGTGCTTGTTCATGTAACAAGTTCATCACTACAAAATCAGTTATAAAATGCTTTATTTGTTTAATAAAAGAAGTTATAAACAAAGTCTTACAATTTCTTGGACCGGTGGATTTCCTCTGCGTCTAATGCAATGAATTTCCTCACTGCAGAGAATCTTGTATGTAAATCAGAGCGTTAGCAATCTTTATCATGGAATAAAGATTAAAAAAAGCATATAGAGGTTATGCTTCACCTATGATTTTATACATTTGTCGACCTTTTAGACAATTGTCAACTTCCGATGGATTTTTTTGTAAAACGAATCGTTTCATTTAAAACAAAAAAACAAAAGAGAGTTGAAAGTGTTTATTTTTTATTTATATATATACACACACACAAATCAATGCTGTCATAATTTCATTACATTTTCGTTGACTATTAAACAGAATTTTAGGTAAAGTGACTTAATTTTAATACAAATTTGATTTCAATACATTAATAATGTATTTTTTTTATATTATTAATCAATCATAAATTGATATATCATTACAAATAATTTATTTTTGTTATAATTATTTTAAAAGTAATGTTTAAAATATTATTTAATTAATTGACAGTATAAAACTTTATAGTTGTATTAAAATTACATTTTTTAATAATTGAAAAACTACCAAACTTAAACACAATGATTAAAATAAAAAAGAACTTGATTTATAGATAAATTTAAAATTAAATACATTTTTTATTTTGATTTTGGTCTCTCAACTATTTAAAATATTTTAGTCCTTATTTTTTTTTAAAAAAATAATATTTTTTTATCCCTACTAATAATGCGATATAACAAAAAAGTGAAATGTAATAATCTCTTTGGCACGTTATCAATAAAGACTAAAATCATTAAATTTTAAAAATTAAGAATTTAAATATGAGAATTAAAAAATAATAAAATTATTAATTCTGTTATTGATGAAACATTTTGGTAAAAATATGTTGGTGCAGGCAATAAAGAAAGGGGACGAAGCATGATAGGAGGAGACTGACAAGGACACAAAAGAACAAAAGCAGAAAAGGACAATGGTGACACATTAAATGCAGAGAGAGAGAGAGAGAGTGAGTTACTAAAAATGGGAGTAAATTGCATGGGCATTGGGCGATGGATGGACGACAGTAGCTATGGGCTATGGGTATTGGGTTGTCGTTGGGGAAGAGAGAAAATAGCATACCATGCACTTAACGCCACCCATCATTCCATCGTAATTTAGAATTGAGATTAGAGAAAAGAAGGCAAAAGGGTATGAATGAATGAATCATTGATGATTGTTGATTGTTAATTGAGGTGAGTTGAGTTGAGGGATGTTCGAAGGAGCAAGTAGTGTCTGTGTTCTTCATCGGAAACGAATCAACGAAAAACAGAGGCCAATCCAACACCGTCGCTCTGTCTCCCTCCCTAACAATTCCACCCCCAAACCTCAACACGGTTCATTACTCGTTATTCCTTCTGCAAATTCTTTCCCTCACTTCCCACAACAATTCATCTTTTTAATTGTCAATGTGGGTTCAATTCTAATACTAACTTCGCTGACCCTTCATTTTCTATGTCTCGATTGCAGAGGAATCTGAATCAGATATTGAAGTATCTGATGTTAGTGGTTCTGAAGGGGATGATGCATCTTGGATCTCCTGGTTTTGCAATTTGAGAGGAAATGAATTCTTTTGCCAAGTTGATGATGATTTCGTACAAGATGATTTCAACCTCTGTGGATTAAGTAGTCAAGTGCCTCACTATGATTATGCATTTGATTTAATTTTGGATGTTCAGTCCTCCCATAGTAAGCTTATTCTTTTTCTTACTTCAATTCAATTTTTATTCTATAATGTATGTTATGTGATAAAATTCAAAATATTTGTTTTTCTCTTTCCCCCTTTAAGCTAAATTCAAGTTGTACACTGATGTGATTTATCTCTGATAACCACTTTGATCATTCTGCTGTTTGCTTGGTTGGCTGCTACGTGTCTGTCCATTGATTAGGTGACATGTTCACAGAGGAACAAAATGAGTTAATTGAATCTGCAGCAGAGATACTTTATGGTCTAATTCATGCTAGGTACATATTGACAAGCAAAGGAATGGCTGCAATGGTATGATTTTTCTCCTATGCATCCGTTTTTCCTCATGCTTTTTATTGTAGAGGAGGTTGGTCTGGTAAATGACATTGGATTATCTGCAGTTGGACAAGTACAAGAACTATGATTTTGGCAGATGTCCAAGTGCTTATTGCTCTGGACAACCCTGCCTTCCAGTCGGTCAATCAGATATTCCTAAGTCAAGTACTGTAAAAATATATTGCCCTAGGTGTGAAGACATTTACTACCCACGGTCCAAGTATCAAGGTAGTATCCTGTAAAGCGCCTTGTTCAACTCTTGTTAGTTGTTTATTTATCATGTTTTTTTAAGAATTGGGATTTTGTTTTTCTTCTGTCCATGCACTTTATCATTGCTTTCACGAGTCACATTTTGTTGGTCTGTCAATTAAGGTTGTAATTTGTAAGCTATCATACCAAGTTGTGGCTTTCGAGCATTTCATTTACATTTACTTGCAGCCCTTTTTTCTTTATTTGAATCTAAAATAAAATAAAAAATAGAAAAGAAATTGCGTGTTGTTCCTAAAGGTATTCCTTGTGCATGGTTTAATTATCAATAAGAATGATACAAGAAACTCATCATTAACTCTCAAATTATTTCTTTTACTTGGATGAGCTGTTAATATATACGCAAACAACTAAGTTCATTCTCAACGGATTTATTTTACTTGTATTTGTGTAGCTGCTAGTTTGAGACTAATCTGTCATGATAAAATATGATTTATTATCAGGGTAACAAACACATAATATTATATCTACCTATTGAAGTTCGGGTATGGGCTAACTTTTGAGTTTTTTTTTTTTTTTTGGGGGGGGGGGGGGGTCATAGTAATTAGTGGACGCTCATAAACACATCATAAAGTAGCTCATAATCAAGGACAGGCGATTAGTAATTTAGTTGGCTATATTTCAACTATACTATTTGATATTATTTTTCTTATATCTGAATTAAGAAAAACAACAGAGAAAAATAATTGGAAACTGGTAATTCAAGTTGTTCTTGACAGATTTGTTTACGTAACTGCTGTCTGAATTTGGAAAAACAGAAATAACTAGTAAGGGTTACGAAGATTTTGTTAATTTCTTATATTGTGATTACTTTGACTAAGTCAAAAACTATTATATTTAACATTTTTTGTAATGTTATTTTGTTGAGATTTTCTTATTACTGAATCCTGAATATTTTTTGAGTGACTGCATGTTACTCTGCTTTCTGGCATATGATTTTGGGTTAAATTCTATTTATAGTGGAAAATAATATCCTCTCTTTCATACGCAAATTTCCTTAACTGAGTATAGACATTGATGGAGCTTATTTTGGAGCTACATTTCCTCACCTCTTTCTGATGACTTATGGGAATCTGAAGCCACAAAAGTCATCACAGAAATATGTGCCTAGAGTTTTTGGCTTCAAAGTTCACAAGCCCTGAAGCAGGAGGGTATTTCAAGCTTTCATCAAAGTAAAAGAATCTGAGAATTCCTTGTGTAGTTTCGTCTTTGTTTTATTTCATTAAAATTCAGTGGTTTTCAGTTTCTGGAATCAGTTCAATGTAAGATCCACATCTTTGTAAAGTGTAAAAATATATACAGGCACTAACAGCAAGGCAGCAAGAGCTTAGTTTTGCTTTCTGCTTCTAATTCAGTGTGCCTTTGTAAAGCTTTCCTGATAGATGTTTAGCTAAAGTACTTGAATGCTCTAATCAATACTTATATCAAATCTGTCCAACAAGTGGACGTGTCATTTTGTTATCAAATGTATTCTCGCCTCTTCCATCCTTTCTTTTCAATTCATTTCTTTTATCTATTTTATGTTTTACCTTTCTGCAGATCTATTCATCTCATTCAATACAACGATACATTCATATAGAAGTGATTTTGGAGCATGCTCTTTCACTATATGTAAACTTACAAAAATCATTCTTCTGGTTCTCCCCTCTTTGTATCACATTTCACATCCTTGTCGTATATTTTCTCGCTAAAGATATAAATATAGTTTTGCCTTTTATTCTTTCTATTTCTTCCTACACCACACCAGCAATGATTTAAGACTTTGAACGCACCTTCCCCTATTCGTTTTCTATCTTTGTAGGGCTCATTATTTTCCTGTTTCTTCTTCAGGAAATTAAAGCCAGCAATTGTCAAGTTTATCATAATGAAAATGTTAGTAGTTTATTATAGTTATATTCTCATAAGCCTGAATTCGTTACCTGATTCTAAATACAATCTTGCCTTTCATATGGAAAAAGACAAAATGAAGTTTCCTCGTTGTAATTCGTTGTCTATTTTGTTACTTTAAAATAGATGTATAATTCATTATTAAATAACATTGTCAAAGATATCGATAAGGACTCAGCTCAAATATTGCAATCTATTATATATCAAATTAAACAGACACTTTCAATTTGATTTTAATAATAAAACACGAAACAGCTAGAAAAAAAGATAGGTAGTTGACAAAAAATGAGGGTGCGAATATTAAAAGCAATTGCCTGTTGCTTTTTTTTTTTTTTTTTTTAAATAACTAGGTAAATAAAACGACAAAATTTAAGTTTAAGTAAATATTAACTAAATGATTAAAAAGATGAAATTTAAAGGCAGCATTATAGATATTGTTGTTAAAATTTAACAACACTAATATTATCAATGATATTATATTTAAATACTGTCTTAAATAAAAATTGTTAACATTTAAATAGAGATATTGAAATAGAAATAAATTAAATGAAAATAATCATTTTATGTAATTTAAACTATCAAAGTACAAAATTCAATTAGTATTTTGTTCCTCTTCCTTAGTTTGGCTTTTTCTAAATCTTGATTGCCAAAGAAGCTAGTGAGGACATTGAAATTGAAATTGAAATTGAAATTGAAAGATGGAGGCGCTATGCCGTAATATGGGATAAGGAGACATGGAAGATATGAAAAGGATAAGGACAACGGTTAGATGTAATGTAAGGCCATGAGTAGGATGGACAAAGACGGATAAGAACAAAGTAAGGTCACCCAATCATACACATGTGGAGCCTTCACCCATTTCAACTTCTTATCACCTCTAATAATCTATGTTTAACTTAACATAATATTAATGTGTTTAAATCAAATTGGATTTTCTATCCTCTCGATTCAGTTGTTATAATGTTTTCATCATAATTCTGAAGTTGGTATACTTAAATCTCTTTGATAACAACGTGATACTATTTTTGTCGATATCATAATGTTTTATTCTATTCATATGGAATAACACGGGACTGCTCTACATCGACAAAAAGGGTCTCATGTCATTGTCAAATGACTTGATTGTATCATTCTTTTTCAAATAATATTATTTTAGTTTACACTTGGAGACCAAATCAAAAGCATTATCAAATCAACACAAGCAAAGTATTTAAATTGGTCATTATTAATGAAATAACAAAAACCCAAAGTGTAAATTTTTGTGCATTAAATTTGTATGATTAAAAAGAAACAAATAAATATACATTTATAGGGAGGTTATAAAATTAACATTGACCAAATCAAAACAAGACAAAATGCAATCTTCTTTAATCCAATTGTAAGGCTTCCCAATTTTTACGTTTCTTGGGGAAAAGGAAAGAGGAGGGTGGCGTTTACGTAAATTCAGCTTAACCATGTGATTGTTCTCTCTCAGTTCACACTTTTTCCCAATTCAGGATCGTAAATAAAGCGAAGAAACAATTGCAACGTGTCAATCAAATAGCGTGCCACGTCGACACAGATCCGGGAACAGTCAGGTTAAGCTACAGGTTTCTGTTTGAGCATAGCTTCTTGAGAAGAGGCGACGCGACCACAGCTTTCAGGTTCTTATATTTACATTTTTGCCCCTTAATTTTCCTTGATTTTACGAATTAACCTTCTTCAATCTTTTTTTGGTAAACCATCTTTTTCCAAAATTCGATTTTAATTTATATGTTTTTTCCATCAGCGTCACTGATTTAATTAGAGGAATAGCGTTAGGTAATTGCAAAGAATTTAACTGAATTATATTTTTTTAATAAGATTATTTATTCTTTAATTAATGTTAATTATCTATTTTTTTCTCAATGAGAGCGGCATTTTTCTTTTGTGTACGTTATTAGATGGCCTACTTAAGGGTTTTATTAACATGTCTTAAAATTTATTTCAAACAATTAATATTACAAACACTGATTATTTCTCCCTCGGTTAACTTTCTTGTCCATTTAAGCACCATATTGAATTTCGATTATTTGCATGTTGCCTTATTTAATTTTAACGTATTGGAATTATAATCATTTTTTTTCCAATGTAATATTATTTTACTCATCTACAGTTATTCTTTAATATATTTCATTTTATTTCTTAATAGGAATATATATATAATTTATGGAGTAAATGTTCAAATTTATTCTTACAAAGACACGGGAGACACTTTCATTTCTAAATTTTTTTTTATAAATCAAGAAAATGATGGGCCAATTTGAAAAAAAAAAAAACTCTAACACCCTCAAATTTATTAATGTAAGACATTTTACGGCTTTTTATTTAAATATTGTAAATTTAAAAATATTTTCTTAAATTATAAGTTTTTTAAAACTATTTCTCTATTTAGAGTAATTTGGTTGACCTAATATACTGTTTCGTCAAAATAACTGATAAAAATATTTATTTTTTATAAAAAAATAACAAATTTTACCATAAAAAATGTAAAATAATGAAATTATGACAAGTGTAAGCATTTAGATAATTTTGCAATATTAATGACGAAATTAAGAAATAATTTCGACATAAAACGTGAGAAATTCGTAGATGGTGACACTTGTCATGATCTTAATAAATTTTGTTATAAAAATTGCACAACTTATAAAAAGTTAACAAGTGTCACAATTTTAACCCATTAAGTAAACTAAATATAAATTATTTTAATTTATTCTAAAATTATAATTATATCATAATTAAATAAAATTCTAACAAAATTAACTAACATTATATCTGAAAAATAATTTTTTTATTTACATATTATTTTAAATTACATGTTAATTTAAAAAATTAAAATTATTAACATAATTAAGCATAATAGTTTTTATCAGTAAATATTAATTATAATTATATTAAAATTAAAAAATAAATTACCAACATAATAAACAAATATTTTTTATATTTACATACAAATTACTAATGTAATGACAATACATAATTTACTTTCATTAATTTTAATAACATAATCAAACAAAATCTAATTTAAATTTACATACAAATAATACTATAAAATATTTTTTTATTTACATATAAAGTTAAATTACATCTTAATTAAAAAATAAAATTACTAACATAATTAAGCATAACAGTTTTTATCAATAGATACTAGTTATAGTTACAGTAAAATTAAAAAAATAAATTACTAACATAATATCAAAAAATATTTCTTATATTTATATACAAATTACTGACATAATCACAATATATAATTTATTTTTATTAATTTTAATAATATTATTAAATAAAATCTAATTTAAATTTACATACAAATCATATCACATTTAAATTAAAAATATAAATATCTAACATAATACTAGAAAATATTTCTTATATTTATATATAAATTACTAACGTAATCATAATACATAATTTACTTTCATTAATTTTAATAACACAATCAAACAAAATTTAATTTATTTTTACATATAAGTTATGACCATATTTAAAATAAAAATTAAATTACTAAAATAATAATAATTTATATGTAAATATTAAAAATATTTTTTTGTATGTTAGTATTTTTTTTAATTTTAATGTAATCATAATTGATATCTAATGATAAAAATTATTATACTTAAATATGTTAGTAATTTTAATTAAGATGTAATTTAAAGTTGTATGTAAATTAAAAATAATTTTAGGTATAATATTAATTAATTTTGTTAGAATTTTATTTAATTATAATATGATTATAATTTTATAATAAATTAAAAAAATTATATTTAATTCATGTAATGAGTCAAAATTGTGACATTTGTCAACTTTTTGTAAATTGTATAATTTTTATGACAAAATTCATTAAGATCATCACAAGTATCACTATTTAAGAGTTTTTCATTTTTTATGGTGAAACTCATAAAGATCATGACACATGTCACTATCTACAAGTTTCTCATTTTTTAGGGTGAAACTGCTTTTTAATTTTACCATAATTATTGCAAAATTTTTCAAATACGTGTCATAATCTGGTTATTTCGCACTTTAGTTAGCAAAATTTTTTATTTTAAAAAAAAATATTTTTGCCAATCATTTTAATTATGCCATGCCAACCCAATCACTCCAAACAAGAAAATAATTTTAAAAAATTTATAATTTAAAAATTATTTTTAAATTTATAATATTTAAATAAAAAAGCCCATTTTTACTTGTTAGAATAAATAATTTTTATTTGAAAAAGAACTATACTCTTTATTATTTTACCCATGACCCTAATCTAAAGAGGTTAAATAATTATTTTACCCGTCAAAGGATTGTCTAAAACTAGAAGTGGTATTATGGAAAATCCAAACAAATCCGAGGTCTTAGATTTGAAGCTAGAGTCCACTTATCCCATTCAACCTCGTTCTTTCCGAATCAAACAAAACTAAAGCCACAAACAGCAGCAAAAGCAACATCCTATTGTATTAGTACTCGCCGCGGACTGAACAGAAACAAAAACAAAAGCAACAGCACAATTGCAAAGCCCTCTCGCTCTGATACACATTACATAGTCACCTCACCACGCAACAACGCAGTGTCGTTTTTGTGGTACGTTAATGCGTCACCACCACAAGCCGGAGCTTCACATCGGAAAACAAAACTTGGACCTCTCTTCCGATATCACTTCCTTCTCTCCAAACCTACCAAGTCTCTGCCACCATGAACACTTCTCCAATAACCCATCTCAAATTTCTCCACTCTCTTCACCCCACAACACACCTACAATGACCCTCCCTTACCCTTCATTCCCAACACCCTTTGCTTCAAAGTTTCTAACTTCAAACCTTTTCACTCGTTTCCGTTTTCTTATTCTTCTCCCCCTTCCTTCCCTCTCTCTCTACTTCCTTGTTTCAAATCCTAGCCCTTTAGATTTCTTTTCTGTGATCGCTTTCTCAGTAGCACTCTTCATTTCCCTTAATCTCGCACTCCCCCGTTTACCCTCTATTTGCATGTTCTTCACTCGATCGTTACCCACCAACCTCTCTTCATCTTCTTCTTCTTCCTCTTCCCCTGTTGTATGGTCTATTGGGTCGAAGCCCAATCAAGTAAAGAACAAAACTTCGGGGTGTTGGGTGCAAGTTTATAGCAATGGGGATGTGTACGAGGGTGAATTCCACATGGGAAAGTGTTGGGGTAGTGGGGTATATCACTATCACATGAGTGGAAGATACGAGGGTGATTGGGTTGATGGGAAGTATGATGGGTATGGTGTTGAGACATGGGCAAGAGGAAGCAGATATCGTGGGCAATATAGGCAAGGTTTGAGGCATGGAATCGGAATCTATAGGTTCTATAGTGGCGATGTGTTTGCTGGTGAGTGGTCTAATGGACAGTGTCATGGGTTTGGTGTTCATACTTGCAGTGATGGGAGCCGTTATGTTGGGGAATTCAAGTGGGGTGTCAAACATGGACTTGGCCAGTATCATTTCAGGTGAGTTTTTGTTTTTCAATTTGTGTTTTGCTTGTTCCTTAATCAATACTATGTTTTCTGTCTTGGTTGTTGTTTGATTCCTCATTAAGCATATAGGAATCGAACCGGGTTCCTCTGTTTATTGGGTTGGATGGTAGACTTGGATTAGATTTTTAGCTTTGATTGCTTGTAATTGAAGTGTAACAAACTAACAGTTTCAAATGGTCATGAATTTACCTCCAAGATTTAACTTATTTTGGAAGATATAGAGATTGTGTAATCCCTTAATTTTGTCCCTGAGATGGTAACCGTAGTTACTTTAGTTCCTAACTTTGCAAAACATCATTCACTTTAACCAAACACTATGTTAATGTTAGTGGAAAATCTAGTGGAAAAATACTGAGTGAACAACATTTTCCAAAGTTAGGGACTAAAACGAAGGTTTTGTAGACTTATAGACTAAAATGACCGACACTTGTAATTCAAAAACTTAAGTTGGGGTTTACTCTATACTCTGTAGAGATTCAACATACTCTGTTTAGGTTTAGTATTCTTGTTGTTCAATGCAACAATAGGACTTGGATTTTCTGGTTGAAACTTGTTGATCATTTCTTAAACTATGGTTGATACGGAAATCTCCGTATGCATTTGATTCAAGCCAGTTTTATTTTCCTTTTAAGAAAGCATTGATTTTTCTGTGGGCAAATGTTTATAGATATGTTCATCTGGCCTGGAGAAGTTATGTCAAAGCATTATTGGACAATATGTATACCCAATATGTCAATGCTTCAATTATGACTCCATAAATTACCCATATCAGGTCTGTTGATATTCACATATGTTAGTCATTATGATTCTAGAACATTTTTTGATATAAAGTTTTGGTTGAAAATATGACCATTCAAACTGTCAACAACATGTGTTAGAAACACAAATTTGATTTGTTATATTGCCAACTATGTTTTACAAGTTTAGGGGAATATTGTTTTCGCTTTACTATGCTTCATGGTTAGTCAAACAAAAAATGCCAATAAAATTTTGTTGCGCTATATTACATGATAAAATTTCTTTTTATCTTCTTTGCTTTTATGCTGGTGTTCAATCAGTTGTTTATGATATTTACTGTCAGAAGCCGAAAGGGTGGTTGGTCTAGTTTCTCACTAACCACAAGGCAATTGTTTATTCTTATGTTCTGTATATTTTTCAACTTGCTTGGAAAAAGTTCTGCCTATTTCAAAGCACATGTCAATAGATCAAAGCTTCTCATGCCACATTTTTTGTCAACAATATTTTCTAAGTTATTGATGATATTTCAGAAAATGATAAATTTGCTTCCTGTTTCTGGTTCTGCTAAATATGAAGACTGGTCCTAGTGTAAAGTATCTTATGTCTTGAACAATTTTACCTGTAATATGCATATCCAGCTAAAATACTTAAAAAATGATTGGAAAATTGAATTTGTTACGCCGTAGCTGTGTAAGTGCACTTAAAGCATTGCTCAGTTATTTTGTATTAGTACAAGAATATAACTTCCGACTCTGTTTAACTTTCCTCTTCAACCTTGCATCATTTATAGCTGGAAAATTGAATTTGATTCACATTTCCAGAACCATAATTGTATAATTTCCATTTTTTTTCCACTTCACATTTTTTAACATGGACCAAAGAAGAATCTCAATGGAACGTGGTAAAAGACTGTTATTGTCATTAATGCTGTAGTATCTTAAGGTCTGAATGCATTACAAAAGAACAAATGTGATTGGAAAGTTTGATTTACTCAACAAATATGAAATATATCTCTTTTGACTGTGTTTTTACCCTAACTTAATGTATTTTACTGCAGAAATGGGGACATATATGCTGGAGAATATTTTGCAGACAAGATGCATGGTTTTGGAGTGTATCAATTTCAGAATGGTCATCAGTATGAGGGGGCATGGCATGAAGGAAGAAGACAAGGACTGGGAAGGTACACTTTCAGAAATGGGGAAACACAATGTGGTCACTGGCAGAATGGGATTCTTGATGGTCCTAAAAGACAAAATAATTGTACCGGGTCGCCATGTGCTGTGGACCATGCCAAGGTTTTAAATGCAGTACAGGTGATCATCCTTTTTAGTTTTTACACTTATGATGGATCAATATGCATATAGAAACCTGTACCAAAAATACAGTATATTGGAAAAGAAAGGGATGAAGAAAGTTACTCTTTATTAGAATGAAAAAAGAGAATTAAAAACAATGACATAATTATATATTGTTTTGCCACTCCGTTATAGTAGCTCTCCTTGTTTCTTACTGATTGTTATTATGAAGGACATTCAATTCAAATAATGAAATCAGGAAGAAACATGGACCCTCCCTAATTTTATCAGGCTTGGCCTTCTGCACAAGCTTCTTGGGCCTTCTGGTGGACAATAAACCATCCGATTTCATAAGCACTAGACCCTGCCATTATAAATGTGAGAAATGTTATACTCAATACTTCTCTTATTCTGAACAGGATGCACATTGTGCTGCTGAGAAAGCTCACAATATGGCAAATTTGGATGATGGGGTGAACAAAGTAGCCGCTGCAGCTAATAAAGCAGCGAATGCAGCCAGAGTCGCAGCTGTAAAGGCTGTGCAAAGTAGTATGCACCATAATAATAATAATAATAATGATAAATGATACTTACCCATTTCCTCAATCTTGTGATGATAGAAAAGCATTTCATCTCAGTGTCATCCTCCATCATAAGTTGCAAGCAGAACATTATTAGATATGAGAAAACAAAGGAAGCTGGATGAATGAATGCAAGGAAGAGGAATCATAAAGATGTGAAAATAATGATATCTTCTTCTCTGAAACTTGATTGCTAAGTTATGTACTTTTTCTTCTCCTCCCCATGTGAGAGGTGTTTCCATTTCTTTTATCATGGTACACCTGCGAGGTACCTGCTTGGAACCACTGTCTGTCATTGAACTTGATGACAGGTAGCGGAGCAAATAGGGTTCCTCACTTTTGGTGGCTGCTTTTATATGTATAGAAAGAGTAAGAATAATAGACTAAAGAGTTACTTTGTGTATGGCAAAAGTGCCAAAATGATGGCCAAAGCTTACCGTAGGATTTACATATTGAATTCCAGTTACGAGCATGGTAGTGTATCTATCCAATTGGGTGCATCTATGAAGTTGCACATAAACAAGTGCTATATATGGTTGGTGAAGATTTAAGTGTTAGAAGCTCAATTTCGTTATCATTTACACGAGGAGACTAATGCATCAAACAATGATGTATGCTTATTATCTCAAAAATTGTAAAAGTATGATAGAACATCTATTAATTGGAAGAATTTTATATTGTAGAATGAGTGTCTGTTCGGCACAATGTTATTTAAGAGAAATTTTAGAAATATGTTTTCTGATTTTACACTCTCTTTAGCATAGTTTTTCCAATTAGGTGAATTACTGGTTAAATAGCTTGAGATTAATTTCTATTCAGTATGATTTTCATATATTACTCTAAGATAATTTTTAAGAGAAATAAATAACTAACTTATTAAAATAAATAAAAATAGTTATATATATATATAGTGTGTGTGTGTGTGTGTATTTTAAAAATATTCATACTGGTAAATAATGTACGCATATTTTATTAATATAAAAGTTATCATTAGTAAAAAGTTTATTAATTAATATATTTAAAAATGAGTTTTTTTTTTATAAATAAGACTAAAATAAATAGTCATTATTTCTTATACGAAAGGCTGAAAGAACTAGTTCACTTAATAATAATATGTTAAATATTTTTTTTAAAAAATTAGTTAGGACTCTTCATGTTATTAAACACCATTAGTATAAAAAAAATTTATAAATCTAAGTATTCCAAAATTTCTTCCATATAGATTTTTTAATTAGGTGAATTTTACAATGTTTTTGAAATTGACGGAGTATTTTATATTCTCTCACCTAGAACAATCGTGACGACAGTTAATTTTAATAATAAAATTAATAATTTATTTTAAAAAAATATAAATATTTTTTTGACATCTTAATATAATTTAGAGAAAGTATTCAATAATTTTCAAGTTTAAAAATATCATAATAAATACCAATTAATTATTATTTATAATGGAAAGAAACGTATTTTTACACGCTTTTTTAAAATGATTCATAGCATTTTATTAAAAATAGAATTTTTAGCATCACATTAACTAATATTTTAAAATATAATAACCAAATAAATTTTTAATTAGCATTTAATCAGCATTATTTGTTTTCACCTTTTAGTCTAATTGATTCAATTGATGGATTGATTTGACATGACCATTTAAATAAAAAAATTAACAAAACACTTTATTTGATAATAATAAAAAGTAACACTTTCTAACACTTCTTTAAAAGTAAATCAAATAACCATTATAGTTGCCAAGTAAAGCTGGGCAACCCTCCTCTCCATCACAAATTATTAATAACGGCTTCTTTTATTTTGTTTAATACCATCACTATTTAAATATCAAAGTAAGTACTTAACTAATTAAAATCAAATGATTATAGCATATATTTGCTGTCGTTGGAAAATTATGTGTTCTGTAAGAGCTCCCCTTACAAATAACTTTTAATATGTTATTTTGTGTAAAATAAATTGATTTTAAAATATCTTTTAGAGATAAGTAATATATTTGCTTACCCGTTTAGTAAATATGTAATCGATTTTCCCTTGACGATGAACGACTATTATTTCCTTTCACAAAAGTTGAGACACTTCGAATGAAAGTGATAAATTCTTACTTCAACAAAAATTGATTTTCCTTCCAATACAAACATACTCCTAGATTAAGAAATCTTCAGTGTTTGGTATATAATAAACATAAGTTGTATTATTTTTATAAATTAATATATATATATATAATATTTTTTATTAAAAACACTACATTAAAAATATAAGTGTATTAAATACTATTTTAATAATTTTTTTGTTATTATCATTAATTTCTTAAAGTAAACTCTAAAAATTTAAAATAATATTTTTTATTATATTTTAATACATACATTACAAAAAACCATGTCATTAATAAATCAACATAAAAAAACATGTAAGAAAGTGTAACTAATTGTTGTCCATTAAGAATTAGGTTTGTGTAATCGTGTTGGGTTGTGTTGTGGTGTATGTAGTCCCTCCTTCGTCCCTGAATCAAAAACCCTAACTCTCTCCCTCCCTCTCTCTCTCTCTCTCTCTTGAAAGTTGCAGAGAAGTGAAGAGAAGGAAAAAAAAAAAAAGAGAGAAGAATTAACAGTGATGATTGGGTGAGAACAATAAAGGAACAGTGATGTACAAAGAGCGAGGTGTCTCTGCCTCCAAATCGGAGGATCGAAAGCGAATCAACGACGTCCTCGACAAGCAGTTGGAACGATCCTCTCCTTCCACTTCAAGACCCAAAGACAAAGACCCTCGCTCCTCCAAAAACTCCAACCTCTCTGGTAAGTGCTAACTATCTCTCTCTCTATCCCTTTTCGATCCATCGATTCTTCCATTCACGTCTGTGCGTTCGTAGCAGAGGAATCCGAAACCGACAGTGAAGAGTCTGATGTTAGTGGTTCGGACGGAGATGACACGTCGTGGATCTCATGGTTCTGCAATTTGAGAGGAAATGAATTCTTTTGCGAGGTTGATGATGATTACATCCAAGACGATTTCAATCTCTGTGGATTAAGCAGTCAAGTGCCTTATTATGATTATGCTCTTGATTTAATTTTGGATGTGGAATCCTCCCATGGTATTCTAACTATACCTTCATGTGGTACATCAATGTAATTTTACTCTGTTGTTTGTGAAGTAGAACTCGAATAGTGTATGTGGCTTTTAATATGATTGTGTGTCTTGCTGTGTTTTTGTTTTTTTGTAATGGCTACATTGGTCTGGTTTGAATATATAGGTGACATGTTTACAGAGGAACAAAATGAGTTGATTGAATCCGCCGCGGAGATGCTTTATGGTCTGATTCACGCACGATATGTGTTGACAAGTAAAGGAATGGCTGCCATGGCAAGATTTCTGTCACTTATAACTGTTTAGTGCTTTGTGGTCCACGAGATTGATGCTGTTAATAACATTTTAACTTTTGCAGCTTGACAAGTACAAGAACTATGATTTTGGTAGATGCCCAAGAGTGTACTGCTCTGGACAACCCTGCCTTCCAGTTGGTCAGTCAGACATTCCTCGGTCAAGTACTGTGAAAATATACTGCCCTAGGTGTGAAGATCTTTACTATCCTCGGTCCAAGTATCAAGGCAGTATCCTTATATCTATTGTTGAATTTTTCTGTTGCAGATTTAAGCTGATGATGCAACTTTGCATCACCGTGTCACTGAGAAATTCTGTTTCTATTCTCTTGTGCCGCTTATTTCATCCCTGCTTTTTAGCTTCATTTTTCAGCCTATTGTATAAGTAGTTTGTTTGTTTGTGGAGATGTTTTTTTTGCAGTTTGCTTCCCATTTACATATATAAGCTTGTTTTTGCAATCTGGAAATAAAAAAAAGAAAGGATTGCATATGGATCATAAACTGCTTCCTAAACATCATTGACCATATGTAATAATAACTGGAAACTCTGATAACTTCTCTGAAAATATTTCCTGTACTTGGATACGTTGTCAATGTAGACAAGACTATACTGGTTCATAATGGAATAACATAAAGTAAGATTAGAAGTTTGAAACAATGAATGGTTTAATTTTAACTAGCATGGTTCATAATTTAGATCTCTTAGAAATATCTGATCTGGAAAGTGTTTGGTGACTGTGTAATCAATACTGGATTTTCTTCTTTGACAAAAACTATATATGCAATTGTACTTTCAGCTGTTGTATGCCTCAGGCATAACTTTAGTTTCTCACAACTTGGATGAGTATGTTTAGAGAAAAAGCTGTATAAGAGTTAACAGTTTTTTGGAGTTGTCAAATTGTTGGAAGACCACTTTTCTCTTACTCATTGTAATTCCTGATATGTATATGTGATTTTTGGGATGACTGAATGCCACTATGCTTTTAGCTATATAATTGGTTTCCATTTTTGGTGGACAACTCCTGTAGTTCCTTGAGTCTTTCTAGACATTGATGGAGCTTATTTTGGAACAACATTTCCACATCTCTTCCTGATGACATATGGACAACTGAAGCCACAGAAACCATCACAGGGCTATGTTCCAAGAGTTTTTGGATTCAAAATTCACAAGTCATGAAGCTGAAGTTAAAGCTTTCAAGAGTAAGATCCTGCCCATGTCTCATTTAGCTCTTGTAGTACTCCTTGCAACATCAAGTGGATCATAAGCTTTCCAAACCAGTACAATCTAGACATCCGTTTTACTTGTTTTAGGAGCGTGTTGTAAAGAAATATGCACACATGTGAAGCAAGTGCTTAGTTTCACTTTCAGCTTCAAATTCAAGGACCAAGTGCTTAGGTGCTTGACAACACTTTTTAATGGCTTATTACAAATTGTATTTTTGCAATTAACTTAATGTTCTCTGTGCTTATGTCTCAAATTACAGACCCCCTGCTATTTTTATATTGTTTCATTCCATTACCCCCATTTCCATAGCCCTTGAATTTGTGGATTTGATGTCAATGGATTGATACATTTTACTGAATTTATAGGTTCACTTGACTTGATGGTAAACTCGTCTATCCAACATTAATATTGATTATATGGAATATGAATGCAGAATATGTCCCTGAGGTCCGTCTGTCTCATGGCTGTATGTGATTACTGATTTGTGAAGATCTCTGTTCACAATGCATTGTTTGTGCGTGCTTGCATAAATACTTTCTAAATGCTGAAGGTATTTGTTCTTTCTACTGCAGAAAAATGTGAGCTATTCTCCATTCATCTGGTGTTATGAATGAAACACAGAGTCTTTCAGTTCTTAGGGAAGGGGATAGGCTATATCCCTACAGCTTCTTGTCTCCAACTTAATTTTGCTGAGTCTCTACTTGGAGAATACCCAAGTCGCTTACGTACTACTCCCCAAACTTAGTAAAACCCCGTAAGCTCTTATTTGGCTTCCGCCTTGTTATGAGTTTAATATAATATTTTTTTGTTCCACTTAGTTTTAGTCAGAGCTCCAGAACCCCAAAAAAACCAAGACAACTTAATGGTTATATTGATTGAACTGACCATTAAGTTGGTTGTTAATGGTTATAGCAGTGGAAAATGAATCATTGACAGATAGGTGGTTCGTAAAAATCTAGAACATGATGTATAGACAGGGGTATCGAGCTCATGTTAAAATAAAACTAGGTTATGAAAGATTGTAATACACGGCATAACTCTGGTCATTCTTCCAATGACCTATCTGCTTGGAGATTTGGGCTCATCAATGAACATTAAACACATAGAGACAACATTAAAAAATAAGGACATCAAAGATAAAAGTTAAGGAGAAGCTAACCTCAAGAAGCCATGATTATTCACCCTGTTCGAGACCCTTGATTAATCAATTAAATGCCTTAAAACTTGTTAATTTGGATAGTATGTTCCCTTCTTTCTTTCTCAAATTTAGACGGGGCAATACACAATGGTCAAGAAGTGGCAACCATTATTTTCAAGCCCAGTTGTGATATCCATGTCCATAGATCACAAAATGGATATCTAAAAATCTGTCAAAGATACCATCCAAACAATATTTTAATTAACAATGGAAAACTAATCATAAAATTTTAAACTTTCTATAATGGTGCCAGTGTAAGATGCTATTAATTGTGGCAATTATTCTGTACATGGAATACAACAGTACAATTACGAAATGTTGTGGAACATTTAACACTAGGAAAAACATGTGAAGGGTATAATTGATTAGAATTTGGAAATTTAATTTTAAAAGAATTGACTTTGATAGCGTTAATGTTAAAATAACTACACTTCGTTTGGTATATTTAAAAGCGAGTTAAAAAGAATTGTTCTTGTCTAAATGATCATACATAATTACTTTAATTACTTGTTTATATTTTGTTTCAAACAATTTGTCTTGTTGCGACCTAATTTATTATTGTGTGTTTAGATTTACGTTTAAATGATTATAGATCTATATTTATTTCAACTTTATTAACAGTAACTTTTATATTACATTCACATTTACAAACTTCTTAACATTTTTAAACATACGCTGCAAACATTTTACTTGTGCAAGTTTGTTCTTTAAAGTAATCAAGATATATATTATACGTTAATTCGTGAATAAAAGCGTTTCTAAAAAAATTCTTAAATAGAAGGGTCTTTAGGAGTTATCAAGAGCAATTTTAAGGATTAGTTTATTATTATTATTATTTGTTCTTACCATGTAAGTTTTTTTATTGCATTATGTATTGTCTTTAATTGAATATCAATTTAAATTTTTCATATTTTTTATAGTTTTATTTAATGTAATAGATTTTTATTATTAATAATTATAATATTTACTTTCTTAAATTTATAAAATATATGAAATTTAAATATAGTCATACAATACTTTTTTAATTAATTCTTTAAAAATATTAATTTAATTTAATGACATCCTTCCAAAGTACAAGAAAATTGCCAACTTTTAGATAAAAGATTAAACAAAAAACTCCACCTCACACTAGAAACGCCCGAAGAATAGATCAATTGAAAGTTACGATTTACGACAGGCATCTTGGCACCCAGATTATCGACCAAAAAGTGTAACAACAGAAAAATGGTAAATTTGTGGTCGCTATCCAGATCATTTTGAAAATAGTCGCTGCACGAAGCCAACGTTATGATCGTAGATCAAAACATTAGTACGATCCTTCTCCAAAAATATAAATTTTAATAACATCGGCAAAAAAAACGTATGAGTAAATTAAGTTAAAACTCAGCTTAAAAAACATAAAAAGAAACAACTGGCCACTGGCAGTTGCAAACATCAGACAGAAACTTCAAACTAACTAGCTCTAACACGAGCCAAATAATTAAAATTAGGAGTCTGATAAAGATAAAATTTAAAATGAAAGTTTACTTTGAATACAATCAATGCAGTTCTCTGAACATAATCTAGGCATTTCGCAGTGTTTAACAGAGTAAAAAAACTAGCATCAACTAAAAGCTCAACCCTCAGTTTGTTCCCTCAACCTCCTGATGGTGCTCCTTACAGTCACAGCACTTGCGGTACTGTCAAAGAGGTAAGAAAAAAGTCAGGTATAGGCATATAGCTGATTTGGAAAATAAAATGTTTGGGTAGAAAAGGAGCATTACTTCAAAGTGTAAGCACCGCCTGCTTTCACTTTACCACAGTCCTTGCATCCCCATATTCCTACAGCTTTCCTCTTCACAGCATACTGCAACAAATAATTGATCATCAGAATTCAAACATCCCAGAGTAAATACCTTAGTAGAGAATATATCCTGTAGACATACAAAACAAGAGGTCTACCTTTCCACAAAATTCACAGAAAAATTTGCTGTGTTGGCTAACTTCCATCTTCTTAATCTGCTTCCGCAGACTAGCCCCATAACGGGTACCTGATACAAGAAAACAAGCAAAATGGATACTCAGGATCTAATCCTAGAAAATTAAATAATCTTGCAACAGCATTTTCAGTCGCCTATACATAAATGCAAATAAGTTGATGTAAAAATAATAGTTGCTTACAAACATTTTTCAATTAATGAATTTGGTTAAAAGATAGAATAACTATTTTCATCCCAATATCTTAAACCTGTTAGTAACACAGTGCACCCTCCGCCTATATGTATTGCAGTTCATAAAAGGGTGTGGACGGGGGAGACAAAACGAGGCGTTGAATTTGTTTACCAGAGAGCATATAGTGTTTCAGCAACATTCCACTCACTCATTCATTTGCATCTTAACAATATATGAATCAACAATAATTCTCATAGACACTCAAGCATATACACATCAACAAACCCTATGGCAGCAAATTAGGAAGTATAACAACTGTCAAGTGCAAGCCAACAACTAAGCCACAAAGAACATATTCGATTTCAGTAAAATCGTAGTTAAAAGACACACCATATTTTCCAACAATGCCAGCCTTCTTTGTCCTCTTAGTCTGAGAAAACAAAACAACATCAACTTAATCCAATGAGACAACAAAAAGCCAAAAGGAAAGCAAAGTATATATCCATTTGAGGAGAGACTAAAAATACATCATAGTTGCACACATTCCTTTAACAGCAAGAATGTTTATGCAAAAGTTGATTAAATTAAAACCAATATTCAGCAAAGTCTTTTCAAAACAAAGATCTAATGAAATGTTACAGGTAAAAGTATTAATCCTAATAAAATTCAACTTCACTGAACAGCTTTGAATTCCAAGCTTTGTGGTGCGATTTTGGGAAATTAGGGATTAAGAAAATAAGGTAATCAATGCTGACAATGAACAATGCAATAAAATAATAAAAATCGATTGAGTGAAAATCTGAATAAAGTGGAAAATGATTCAACCAAAACAACTGGTTCTAGATTCCTTGATTGTAAACTTAAAAAAAATAGAAAACATAAATCGATGAGCGAATGGATTGACATGATTGGGAATGGATGATGGTCGTTGGAATGAAGAGAAGAGAGAGTACCATGTTTTCAAATTTCGAGATTGAAGGCGCAGCGATTGGGGCAGCGAACGAAAGCAGTAACCCAAAAAACCCTAACCCTCTTTACCCACATTTATAGAGAACCATATTGGGTATCGGGTCGGGTACAGGCCCATTTTTATTGGGCCATATATTGAAGGGAAATTTGAATGGATTTTGAGTCTCAGACCAAAAATATAGAATGGCTTTCTGAATATGTTATAGTTTGTTTATTTTATATTTAGTAGAATCAATTTAAAACAATTGACGTTGAATGAATTGAAGTTAAAAATATACTTTTTAATTATGAATAATACTTTAAAAGTGAGCTTAGATTAACTATTTTTAAAAATATTATGGTAAAATTGTTTTTGGAAAGAAATATAACACAATTAAAATTATTTTTACTAAATGAAACCAAATTAACATTTTTATTTTATTGTTCTCAGCTGTTTCTTCCAATGTGAGAGTTTTTTACCGTGAAAAAATAAAAAATAAATAAAAATCCTGATATAAATTCTCTGCCATTTTTTTTACATCAATCTGTTTCTTTTTGCTATTTAGAATTCGGTTCTGAATTCTGAGATAGTTTTTAGTTTTTTTTAATAAATAAATAATATTATTTAAATTATATTTATATATTATTATTTTAATAAATATTTTATTAGTTATATATAATAAAATAAGTTTTATTATTTAATTTTTTTTTTATATTATTTAAAAATAAATAAAAATAGTAATAATATTAATTTTAAATGTTTATTAAAATTTATTTGATATATTTAAGATAATAAATAATATTAAAATTTATTTGATATTTTTAAAATTTAGTAAAAAGAACCATGCATTGCTAGTTTCACCTTCAACCACAGCAAAGACAATGGGAATTATGTTGTTGCAGCCGTCTTGTGCAACTGCCACTAATAAAGTCCCTTTGTATTTGTCAGTAAAAAATGTTTCATCCACTTGAACAATTGGTTTGCAGAAGGCAAAACCATCAATGTATGCCATGAAGGTCCAAAACAACCTTTTGAAGAACACATTCCCCTTGTCAAGCAAGCCACCGTTGTATGCCGGTTGTGTACTTAATTTCCATATGAAGCCCAGAATATACAATTGCATTGCAAACAACTGTCTAGGTAACTTATGGTAAGACTCCTCCTAATTTCTGAAGATATTTTCAATGGCATATTGTTTCCCCAACCATCCCTTTCTATAGCTGATTGTATAACCCATTTTGAACTTTATGTGGGCTAAGATGGTTGCGATAGGTGTGGATGGATCAATCTCAATAATTTCACGAATGGTTTGAGAAATCATTTGTGATCTCAACTTGTTGTGATCATATGAAATGATTGGAGAAGCACATGTGTGGCACCCTTCAAGCTTCATTATTTCTCAGTGTTGCTCTTTGGTGTGTAATATAGCGCGACATCTCTAGGCACAATCGTTGTGAACGCATTTGACGATAAGCCTAGTTGTGCTTGACATTTTCACCTTGTAAGTGCAATGATTGACAATGTGAAATCTATTTATGGTGTCTTGGACTTGTTCTTTTATTGAGAAGCGTTGACCAACAAATAGTGTTCCAGACAGATATACTACCATTTCACGATCAAGGACATGGCCAAACTCAGAGTCATGTTCTTGTATTTGACTAGGAATGTTTAGAAAATGTGGAGGTGAGTTGTATAATGGTAATGATTTTGATAGTGAAATATTTGGAAGTAGGAGGGAGTCTTCTTCATCATCCTACTGTTGAGATAAGATTTGATCTTCGCCCTCGCTAAAAGGGTCAAATACTTCGATTGGGAGACCCACAACAACATGTTCTTCAAGAGGCTAAGAGGGTAGGGTTTGCTCAAATGGTTCGGAGAGTATTTCATTGAGGTCCATGAATGGACCAGTTAAAAGTTGTGTGTAGGACTGAAGGTCAGAATTCATATCATATGTTGAAAAGGATGGATTTATGGTTTCGTAAGTTTGGTAAGGTGAAGGTGAAAGTTGTGGTGGCTAGATTACGTTTGTAGCAAATGTAACATATAATTTTATACCTGATTGAAGTTGATTTGAATCGTGGATGTTGCAGAGTGCCTCGACATCTTCATCATCGTTCAACTCAACACATGTGTAGTTGCTAACTCTCGGGCTAAGTCTAATTGGGTAGCAAAAATATATGGTTGTCACCCTTTTATTTGAGTCTAGGTTAAGTTTTGTGTGGATGACTTTCTTGAGCCTTTGTAGAGTCACTCCTCTATTTAGATGTACTAATTTCGCTGATGGTGAGGTGAACGTGACTCCTTCATTAAGACATTGGTTAATGGCACCATCAGAGTGAACAATGACATAGATTGAAGACATTTTTAGAAGGAAAAGGTTCACAAGAACAAGGAACAAGGTTAGAAAGTTGAATGAATAAAATGAACACGAATATTGCTATTTATAATGGTAACGTTGGATTCTCAATCACGCATGCCAAGAGATAGTGACACCTCAGTCACTCAAACTAAGAGATAATGACTTCTCAGTCACGCATGCCAAGAGATAGTGACTTTTTAGTCACGCATGCCAAGAGATAGTGACTTCTCCGTTTATCTATAAATATGTTCATCCACGCCACATGTTTTCATTCAAACTTGCATCCATCTTTGTTCTTCGTTTCTCTTTGTCTTTGCTCCCATTACTAAAAATGTTGTTCTGGAAGCAAAACGAACACAGATCCGCCTCCAGTGGAAGAACGGTAAGTTTTACACATTAGCAAGTCTAACTGAATATGTAAATCAATATTCTACATATAATGTTACTAATTTATTAATAGCTGCAGGAAACTGAAAACATGATTTCATCTTTCTGTCATTTAATACCAGAACTCAGTCCTCTAATTGTTCCTATATTTGAACAACTTGGTTTTGCTGGGATAGCAAAGCTAAGGCATCTTAAAGTGGATCACGCATTGATAACAGCTTTGATCGAGAGGTGGAGACTTGAAACTCACACATTCCATTTTCCAACAGGGGAGTGCACCATAACCCTAGAGGATGTTGCACTTCAATTCGGGCTAAGAGTTGATGGTTTACCAGTCATTGGTCCAACAATGTTTGACTAGGAGGAAATGTGAGACACATATCTCGGTATCATGTCAGTCAAGGGAGAGTCACTTATTGGCTCTATGCTAAAACTAAAGTGGCTGAGAGACAACATGTTGTCATTATCAGAAGAACCATCTGAAGAAGAAGTTCACGCCCATTGTAGAGCTTATATACTAGGTTTAATTGGAGGTGTTTTGATGCTTGACAAAACAGGCAACAAAGTACATCTTATGTATTTAGTTTTATTAACTAATCTTAGAAGAACAAGACGATATAGTTGGGGTTCTGCTTGTTTAGCTATGTTGTACAGGGAAATGTGCAGAGCCACGGAAGTTAGTAGCAAAACAATGAGTGGTTGCTCATCACTGTTAATGTTCTGAGCATGGTATCGCATGCCATATATTGCGCTAATTTCTAATAATCCACCAACATACCCTCTCGTGTGCAGATGGAGCGGGGGTAGAGTACTAAACTTTTGAAATAAACCTTACAATGATGTTGTGGGATATAGATCAATGTTTGATCACATTCAAGCTAGTAAGGTAACTCATCATATTTATTTTCTTATCTTTTACACATCATCTTAAGTAACAAAGTTAAATATATTTGTAGTTTTTATGGGCGCCATATCAAGACTTGCAGACATCAATACCCATAGAAGCATATAGAGATGTCCAACTGTGGATTTCATGTACTGTCATCCTTTATTTTGCAATTGTTGAATGGCACCAAACAGATAAAATCAAATTACAGTTTCGTCTAATCCAAGAAGTCCCTTCTCCACCGAATAATTTGAATGACCTCCATAAAATTGACATGAGAGGAAGACAGGATGAAAATTAGGTTACAAGACATGCTCAATGGATCGAAATATGGAACAACAGACGTGAGCTGATAATAACAGGTCATCCAATTCAAGGCCCATTGTGTCACACACAAGAATACATGGAATGGTACATTGCTAATTCTATCTATTTTTTATCTGTGCCACAACTACTACAAGATCCAAAGACGAGCGACCAACAACAAAGGACTACCACCACATTTGAAATGGGTACGACTTCCATACTGTCGTACCGCGAGACTGCATCAATTCCTCTGAACATTACGCCAGAAGTAAACATAATTAACACAAGACATTCGTTTGCAACAACATCAGAAGATTTTTTTATAAACTTATTTGGAGTTGATTTTACAATTCTATCTTCAACACAAACTTACATGCAGTTTCTTTACCAACCGAATTTTGCTAATTAACCTGGTAATTCATCAAATGCATTTCAACAACTAGACCTTCATGATGATCCAAATCCTCCATAAGTTTATCCTGAAATCCTAGAGCAACAACCACAACAACGAAATCCACCATGTCACATACGTCGCCCTCGTTGTGGAACTGGCCACCATTACGAAGATAGTTAATTATTAATGTTGTTATTAATTTGTTATCATCTTTATTAATGTACTCTGTCTTCATCAATGTTACTTTAATAATATGAAAACGTTAATTTCAAAATATTTGTCTCAACTATAAATAATTAAATTATAATTTAATGTTTTATTTATTTTTTTAAAATAAATTTTTTATTCTCAAATAAAATTTATTCAAAATTATAATAGTATAATTTTAGAGTTTAGGATATTAAAAATTATAATATTAAATAATAACATTTTTAAACAAATAATTTAATTAAAATAAAATTTTTATTCAAAATATCACTTTATCATACTAATATTTAAAAATATTAAGTCAAAATTACATATTTAAATAAATAAATAAACATAATAATATTTAATATATTTTTTTATTTTTGAAAAATATATTTAGTATTCTTTAAGTAGAAATTATTTAAACATTACAATTATGATGTAAAATAATATACTTATTATTTAAATATTTTAAATAGTTTTTAAAAATTAACTAAAATAATTTACTTATTATTTAATTATTTTTTAAAAATTTAGTTATT